AAGAAGAAAAACAACAGTTTTTCAGTACCAGGGGACCCCAAGACATGTATTTCCGTTGAAATCTCGAAATCGATTTTCCGCAGTGTAACTTCTCTACACTACGTGAGCACCGTCCGTGTTCTCTATTCTCCGTGAGCACGTTCGCGTGGTCCGGAGATGGTCGCGTCAAAATAATAATAATAAAGGAGGCTCTTGTGTGAACTGAATTGTTGGTCCCATTTTATTATTTCAAAATGTTTGTGCTAGAATGCGCCGAATGTACGATATATGAAAAGAGGCCATTTGAATCAATCAGAACGTTTTGATAGATTTTATCATACACTCGAGAAGTTCGAAACGTAATAGATGAGAATGAAAATGCCGGTCTTGGAATAAATCTGTTTTTAAGGCCAATATCGTGACTATCAAATATATTTAATGTTAATGTATTTATTTACGGGAACTAATTATTAATTTGTATACTTATATGTTCATATAATTGTTTTTAGCAAAACTGCAGTTTTGTTTAATACTTTTTGGACGGAGGGAGTACAGACATGTGTGCAAAAAAACACTCTTTTTCGTTTCCAGGAACACCGAAAATATGTATTTGTATTAAAATCTCAACCTACATTTTTAGCAGCAATACAATAGTTACTTTAGTAACGGTATACGATACAGTAAACCTGGCGAGTTTAATAACTGTCTCCTTGGCAAGTCAGTTGAAAAAAAAAACTTGAAGGAACAAAGCTATTAGGAAATTCTCCGTGACTTATTTATTTATTCGCTTTAAATAAAAAAAAATCATTCCGTCTCTCTCTCTCCCTATTTTTCCTCTTTCTTGACCAATCCTTACCCCTTACTTACACACAATTCGGGAGACGAGTTGGGAGATTTGAGCTCGTTCCGACTGTAGGGGTAACACGTTTGTAGGAGATACCTTGATGTGGAAAACCCTGAAAGCCGACCGCGACGGGTAGGTCGGCGCCGGATCTCACAATCTTGAGGGAAAGAATAACCCTCCTCTCGTGATAAACTAGTGGTGTTACAAATCGCACTGACTTTCTCGTAGTAAAGTTTTCTAATTTCCTTGGTGTGGACTGTCTTTCCACTCTTGCCCCATCCTCTTGCCAGCTGTCATCTATCGCCGGCCAAAGTACATATTTCTGACATTTTCTCAAATTTTCGGTTTCCTAATAGTAGAACCGAAATATTACTTTAAGAATAATGTAGAAGAGTAAAACCTGGTCATAAATGGCAATTTTCATTGAAAAATTTGGAGACGTTTTTAAGGAAATGGCATAGCTTTACTGTAAATGAGAAATTTGAAGCTCTTTTTCACAGAAAAGTTTTAAGTTGTCTAAAAACTTAATCTAGAGTCATTTGAGGTACTTCAAATGAAGGCAAATGCAATAGTGTTTACAAATCGCTGGAAATGTGCATATAAACGGTGTAAGAGATATAAAAAAATACATTTGTGTAATATTTGAAAAAAACAAGAATACTGAATAATGAACTTTATGTCGTATTAAACTGTGTTAGTAACACTTATCGGACGAAAAGTTTTAAGAAAAAAGGCATAAGCTGGATAAGATAGTAAAAAGTGCTCTCGTTTGAAGTCGAAAAGTAAATCTTTCCTAACAATTGTGACCACGAAAAACATTTTTTCATTAACTTTTAGATTCCTCCCACCAACACATCCTTCATAATAATGAAAAGTGTGTTTTTATTATTTTATTTTTTCATTGAACTGGACAAATGCATTTCCATTGAAAATAATGATTCTTGATGTAAAATGCACTGAATTTTTCAGAATTAATTTTTAAATTTAATTTGCCGCGAAAATCCAACTTTTAAATGGATTTTAAAAATTTGAAATGTTTTTGAAGCAAGTTTTAATTCCGGCGGGTACACCAGAAAATTTCCAAACGTTGCACTAAAAATCAGCTATTTTCTGAACTTTTTTCATTTTTTTCTGATTAGTGTGCCATGTTTAAAAAATTAAAATTCATATTTTTGTCCCATTATTTTCGTGAATATACAACTGTTTAGAGGTATGTAATTACAATATTATTTTCTAGCAACAGTATTTGCAATATTAAAAGGCTAATATCAATACATAATTTTGCAATAATATTTAGACCGTTAGATATAAACGCAGCGGATGATGAACAATTTTTACGATTTCAATAGAAAATATATTTTATTAGCTACTTATTTTGCTAGCATACTCTAGTACATCTAAAATTTTCAACAAATTCTCACAATTAGAGTCAATTCTATATAACTGCTCATTTTTCGAACCTTTCAAGTGATTTAAAATAAATTCAAAAAATTTTCACCATCTGGTGCGGGTAAATCTAACAGTCAAAATATTATTGAGAATAGTTATTTATGTAACAAGCCCTTAAAGACTAATAGAGCACGTGTTACATCCAATGTTTTTTGTTTATTTTAGTTATTCTATTTATTCAAAGTAAATATTTAACATTTTTATGAATTAAGATTTGTCATTACTCTCGATGTTCTGCAGCAAAGGTTGATGCTACAGGGTCTTGATACCGTTTTTAAATACAAACCGCAGTGCGCGGAAGGGCGAAAAGGACAAGTGTGACAAAGCGGGGAAAGGACGAACAGGGCAAGGGGGCAATATGGGACAATGAGGACAAAATGGATAAAATTGGAAAAGGGGGAGGAAAAGGACAAAATGGGTAAAAGATGAACAAATTAGACAATTGGGAAAGAGATAAGGTGACAAAATGGGACGATGGAAGAAGGGGTCAAAGGGTTTCAGGAGACAAAATGGGACAGGGACAAAATGGAACAAGGATAAAATGGGACAGGAGACAAAATTGAACAAGTAGACAAAATGGGTCAAGGAGACCAAATGGGACAAGAAGACAAAATGGATCAAGGAGACAAAATGGAACAAGGAGACAAAATGGGACAATGGGACAAAGTGGGGCATGGGGACCAAATGGGGCAAGAGAACCAAACGGGACAAGGGGGCAAATGGTACAAGGGAACGAAATGGCACACGGAGACAAAATTGGACAAGGGGCAACATGAACCAATAGGGCGAAAGGAAAAGAGGGGAAATGGGATAAAAGGAACATGGGGAAAAGGGGCGGCATGGGCAAAAAGGACAAGGGGACAAGTGGCACAAAAGGTACATTTATACAAAGATTTATGAGCACTGGTGAAACCTAAACCCGAGCCTCCGCTGCAATATTTTAATGAACTCACGAGTTTTTAACAGGTCGTTGCTATGGACGCGTTCTTAATGCGTTGTTTAGATGTTTGGTTCCTAAGAACCTAAGCGAGTATTTATGTTATCGACGTAAATAACAAAACGATTTTTTAATACGCCGTGCACAAAGCGCAGTTTGTCGTGCTTGCTTTCCGTGTGCGATACTGCTAATTGTTTCAGTGTGCGTAGCATCGCGAAGCGTGTGCGAAACATCGCGAAGGTTTACCAGACACATTGCATTTCGCTCTTGGTGTGTTAAAATTAGTATATGCAACACGGGCGCGAGGTGATAAAGGCGGCACTCGGCTCGTGCAAGAATCACTTGTTTCGCGCATTTGTTACGTACACTTCTATATTGATATTATCCTTTTAATATTTCAAATATTGCCGCTAGAAAAAATATTGTAATTACTGTACATACCTCTATACAATTCTAAATATAAAGCAACAAACATACGTATGTATTTTAATTTTTTTAAACATGGCACACCAATCAGAAAAATCTTAAACAATTCCAGAAAACAGCTGATTTTAGGGCAACATTTGAGAATTTTGTCATGCACCCGGCGAAATTAAAACTTAATTTAAAAATATTCCAAAATTTTAAAATTAATTTGACAAATAAAATGTTAAAAATTATTTTTGAAAATCTGAGTAAGTTTTGCAAAGAGTCATTATTTTCTAAAGAATACATACGGCCAATTCAATGAAAAAAATTAAAAAACACATTTTTCGTTATTCCAAAGGATGTGCAGGGGGGGGAGGAATCTAAAACTTCATGAAAAAAGGGTTTCGTGGCCACAATCCGTAGGAAAAATTTTATTTTCAATTTCAAGCGCGGGCACATTTTACCATCTTATCCAGCTAAAGCCTTTAGAGAGGATTTTGAGAAAATAGTTTGAGCGTTTCTGAAAATGCGGAATTTTGAGCCAGTTTTCACAGAAAACTGTTGAGTTTTCGAGATACTGTATTTGACACTATTTAAAGCCCTTGCACGCATACATATAATAATGTGGACAAATCGCCGCTATTGTAAATATTAACGACGTTAGAGACAATTTAAAAATATGTTGCAAATTTTGAAAAAACAAAAGAATAGAACATCATGGAGTTTATGTCATATCATAGAGTACATTTATCACGTATATCACCAACAGCTAAAAGAAAAAAAACTTGGAGCTGTTGTTGAGGAAAGCTTTTTTTTTTTCGTTATTTTGTAAAATTGCTCATAATTTATATATTGCGCAATATTGGTAATTTTTTCTTAATTTAGCATTAGATTTATCCATTTTGTCGTTATCAGGGCCCGCAATGAATTTTTTCTTCCGGAAGTCCGCGTTATTTTACACCGCAGCATTACATAACTTTCCCTATACTAAGTGTATTACTCCGTATATACGTATGTATATGAGAAAGTAAAAATCTATCATCATTGCGTAATGGTCAATATTCGCGAAAAGGGAAACTGATTATGATTTGAACGCCTAAATTTAACAAAGAATAGAAGGAAATGTAAATACAGATGTAAGAAAAAGATATTTAAGTGTATAAGTACGTGTAAAAATGCATGAACGTCAAAATAGACACAACAATTATATAAACACAACATATTTTAGTTTTCCTAACTCGAGAATATAAATCAAATTTTTGTACGTCTTCTCCTAACTGGGAGTAGAGGGGTCGCCTGAGTTTTAAATATTGGCATTCAACGCGGTCCCTACGGCCTGTCAGCCGAATTAGAGACTTTTGAAGCGATGAACTCCCACGCTTTGTCCAGGTCGAATTTTGGCGTAGCCAAGGAGTCGCCGGGGTATGACTGTGTAAAATCAGCATTTTCCTACTCTCCAAGTCTATGTCATCTCATTGCTCTGACGTAGACACTGGTGATCACGTCGTATGAGAATTCCTGGGGAATTGCTGCTGCAAGTTGGCCGAAATTGACGTAGCGTTTGCTTGGGTGAGTCAGAAAGTATACAGTTGCGTGTTCACTAGGATTTATTTAACCATGCACTTGACGTAAATCATCTGTTAATGGTTTCATCCAATCGGGAGCTTCAACGTCCCCATAATGACGTCACTGTAGGGGCATATAACCTCCCGATTAGATAAAACTGCAATAGCTGATTTATGTCAAGTGCAAGGTGAGTGGGGTGAAAAGAAGAAGCAACACGTCTCAGAGAAACGAAGTGGGGATGGGGATTTGGGATGGTGACTGGCGCTGACGGGGTGAAACGGCACTGGGCGGGAATTAATGGGGAGTTCTAGGCAGAGGTCGTGGTTGTGAACGCCGTAATTTACACCACATCCTGACCACATCCACATGCTGCCGCTCCGTGATTTGACCGCCTCTCCATGCACAACGATTGTTTTGTATAGCTAAGCTGCAAGAGTTGCAATTTCCCAGTTTAAAATTATTAATGTAAGAGAAGTGACGGTGTTCTGAAGTTTCTACAATGTCGACCTTTACGCCTGGCACTGCTGCTCAGTGCACAACAGAAGTGGAGTTGTCATTTTCGTGCAGGTAAGTTAGTTTAAGTTTTTGAAATTGTTATTTTATTTCTTGATAATTTTCACGAGTTCGTTTATACTTGTTACAGGAATCTGCCATATCAAGATGTTATGTCCAAGTCAGACCCAATGGTAGTTGTGTACATAAAACCTTTTGGAGAAGAACGTTGGCAAGAAGTTCATCGTACTGAAACTATTCAAAATAATCATGAACCAAATTTTGCTAAGAAATTTAATGTACATTATCGTTTTGAAGAACAACAACCTTTGAAGTTTGAAGTTTATGATGTAGACTCAAACAGCACAAGACTTGCAGACCACGATTTTATTGGAACTGCCTCTTGCTCACTGGCAAATATTGTTGCAAGTGGTAAAGTGAGTTCATTTTTTAAAAATATATTTGTGTGCTCTTGTTTACACTATCTGATTGTGAAAATATTGAGTTGTACCTTATTGTTTTTTCCCTTTATTAGCTAACGAGTTAACATGCAATAAATAAGAATTCCATTATGGGGAAAAAATGTTTCTGTCATTGGCAAATGTAAAAAACACAGAAAGTTTCTTTAAGCCCTAATTGTCTGGGCGAGTAGTTTTTGCTATTTTATGTATAATTATTTTTGTAAGCAATCCAAATATAGTCTTGAAAATTTAGTAGTAACGCATAGATTGCAAGCGATCCCATGTTCTCCTAAGTGGATATTCACAGTAGTAGGATGCCAGTCATTTGTTCACTGCTCACTTGGACTCGCCCCTTTTGTTTGTGATATTGTGTATTAATTTTCTCTACTGGTTTCTGTCTTGAACACAATTATGTCTGGCCATGTGAGGTCAGTAACCTTGATTATTTCATTGTGCCACCTACATCTTTTTCTTCCTTTCTCCCTGCTTCCTTCTATCATTCCAGGGATTCTGTTTGCCTCATATGTCCAAATTATTGTAGTTTCAATTTAGTGGCTTTGGTTTCTAGAGAAAGTTCTGGGTTAATTTTTTTCAAAATTTCTGCATTTGTCTTCCCATTTTATGTTATATATTCCTCCATGCCCACATTTTAAAAGCATCTTGACATCCTTTTTTCTGTCTTCCTTAATGTCCATCTTTCATACCCATACAATATAATTGGAAATACAATTTCTCGATTTGTTGGATTTTAGTCTTAAATGATATGCCTGCATCTTTCATGAATTTGTTTAATTTCTTTCCATTGCTTGTTGGGAAATTATTCGTCTCTATAGTGCTGTACAGTATCCAGAGATTGGTATTGTAATTCTCAAGTACTTAACATCGTCTGCCATCTATACCACTACTTCGTTGATTTTCCTGCTCTTTGTCACTACTTTAATTACTAATCTTTCAAGACCTTCTCTGAGCCTCAATACATGTTATCAGTAAAGAGCATGGTATCATCAGCATATCTTAAGTTGTTGATTTGCTTTCCCCCAATTCTGTTGCCTATGTCCATTTCCTCTGTTTTTGCCATTCACGTAATATGTTCTTTACATAGGTTGAACAATCCTGGTGACAGAGTGGATCCTTGTGTCACTCTGTTATTGACTTGGAACCAGTTTGTTTCCTCTTCGCTTGTTTGTACCTTTTTATCTTCATTTGTGTATTGAGAGTTGATAAGTACAATGAGGTATTCCCATCTTTTGCAGCTGTAGCCACATTAATTCATGATCAACATAGTCAAACGCTTTTGAAACTTTATTATATCTTAATTGTTGTAAGACATATTAGGTTGCAGTTAACTTATAATCAAGCGTGTAATACTATGCAATTACTATACTTTGATTTTTCTGTAGTGGCTGATGACATTAGGCCATTGTTACACCTCCTCCCTTATAAAATGAATCTTTTGAATTAATTTGCGAATGTCCTTCTCAATGGGGCTCATGGCCTTAGAAATGCGCATACCAAAATTATTAAGATTCATTTTATAAGGCAGAAGGTGTACCAATGACCTAGTATCATCGACCATTATAGGAAAATCAGAGGATAAAAAGATGTAAATGTAATGGCTGAAAAAAAAGAATTGTATGTATTTGGTATGTTGCAGGTACAATTACCTTTAGGTCAAATCAGAGTGTCAGGTGATCAGCCTGCCTGCATTATTGTGACAGCTGAAGAACTTCAAAATCTCAAGGATGAAGTTTGGTTAGAATTTCATGGTCAATCATTAGACAAGAAAAATTGGCTGTGGTGGAAATCTGATCCATTTCTTGTGTTCTACAAGTCGACAGAATCAGGGGATTATGTGGTTGTTCATAAAACTGAGGTGCGTGTCATTCTCATTTAATTTCACAAAGAGGCCAGATGGAAATATTCATTTTAAGTTGCAAATAATTAAAGCAACAAAATAAATGGATAGTAAAAGCTTTGAACGACATTCATTGTAGATTGTATATATAAATATTCTTAAACTTCTTCAAATTATTACATATACACGTAATTTTGTAAGAAGTATAATTGTCATCTATAAGTTTATAAAACTACTACAGCCATGATGTTTAAAACACACGTGTAAAAACTGTCCACAATTAAACATGTCCTAAGTTGCCCAAAAAGTTTTCTCTAGAGATTATTTCAGCAAAACCTTTTTTTAAAGAAGACTGAGGAAAAATAGAATTGTGTAAGTGCAACATTGTTTCTAAACAAATTTCCATAGATTGAATATGGCCATGGGTGCCACAGGATTCCTTTATAATGAGGTTATGCTGTTTATCTAAGCAAGTTAACTTTTGTGGCAGATTTTACATCATTAACCCAAAATATTCTATCTTTAGTGTCCATCTGGGGGGTACTAATCTTATAAATAATGAAGACTGAATAAGAATCCTTCCCTAATGATTTTTAGAATTATCAAGCCTACTGTGGACTGACCACTTCAGGAGAATGAAGAGTGGCTTGTGTTACAAAATATAATACTCTCTATAGGCTCAGTATGTACAATTGAGGAGACAACTTGTCATTAAGGCAAGAGAATGTCAACAAAATAAGTACTTTTATGCAATTATTGCAAATTCAAAATTAGTTTTGATACAAAATGGCACGCTTTCTCTCGTACTAGTTCCCCTTTCTTTTGAGACTTTCTGGATTTGGATCTATTGATATAATTTTGCCCCTGCCCCTTCCGAACTTTTCTCGGTATAAAAGGGACCTACCAGGGCCACCCCCATACCCAACGCCTCCCTGCAGAGAAATTTTCAATGAAGAGCTCCCTGGGAACCACTAAAAACATTTGAGATGTTCCATACACTCACCCCTTACACCTATTCCATTCATACTTAATCATGATAGTTCATGGGGCTATCTTGATGCTTGTACTGTTGTTCTGGGTGTAGGAAGTAAGTTCCTTAGTTAATCACACACGCAGGTAAAGGCGGCTCCTCACATTTGCTGAGCAGGGAGTTATTGTTCAGCCAATCCTGAACAGCTGATGTGTTCAGCAAATGTTTGCTCTCTTTGATGTGTACTAAAGACGGACATGCGGTGGGTAGGGCAAGCACCAAATGTATGTCACTCTGCAAACAGCTAGCATCTCATCCACACTTCTCGGGATTTGGGGAGCGGTTACTTGCTACTTGACGAATAACGAAAGTGTGGAGTCGATGTTACACAGTTTCTGAGTAGGACAGGATTATGCAAGATTAGGGTGTAGAGTTTTTGACAAGGTCGGATGATTTATGGTATGATTTGTAATGGACTTGGATGGATAATGTAATATCATAGAAGGACAAAACACTTAAAATACACTTGTAAAGTAATAAGGCGGGTATAATTTAAATCAAATTATTTTTTAAAAATCACTTATTTAAATCAATATTTGTTATTTGTAATGTTTAAAAATGTATTTCTATTTTAAATATTTGTAAAATAAAAATTACTCAGATAAAAGACTTTTATCAATTACAAAGTTGATGTAAAGAATATATATTTCTTTTAAACTTTTTCCATTAATTGAACTATTTTGAGAAAATAAAATACAGTATAATATGCAATAAAATGAACGAAGTTATGAAATGAAAAACAGTTATCAATTTGTAGTAGATATACACTAATAGATTTAGATGGTTGATTAATTTTTATCCCGCGTTGAATTGTCTGAAGGTAAACTTATGTAGCAGCAATATTGAACTAACACATACCGAGCTAGTTTCAAGAAAAACACATTTGAATCTTCAAGGGTGTCCCTAATTCTAGATTTGTATTGAAATGTTTGTTAAAGCCACTTAAAGAACATCTTAAAGAAGACAAAGGAAAAATGGAATTTTATTAACACTCATTTAAAGAACAAAATTAATATTGTTAAAACTAATGAAAACAGTAGTTAATCTTACTAGTTTTAATACTGTTAACCTTTTTCTGTTTGTGTACATTGATTAAATTCTATTTTAAGTGGGAGGCCTTCTTCCCACTGACTATAAAACGGTTAATGGGAAAGTGTGCAAGTAACAACAATTATACCCCTTAATTTTTTATAACAGGACAACTGTCAAGTAGAATTGAATATTTCAATAGCTGTCTTACATTGTTATAAGTTTTTCGATGAATTCAGTTGTTTTCATCAAAGAGTGCTTTTTGATTGGGACGATATTGCAAAAAATCTTTAAACAAAGAATTAAAAAAAAATCTTTAAACACAGAATGCCTTTTTTTCTAAATCAAGCTAATAGATGGTGCCACAAGCTTATTTGGTAATGTAGATGCAAGAGAAGTGTTACAAGAGCACTAAACTATAAGTAAATCAAATTTAAAGATTTTTGGTTGAGGCCAGTATTTCACCAGACCCCTCAAATGTATAGTATCTTTATCTTTTTAAATAAAATTACAAAATTTAAAAAACATGGTTTTAATAAACTTTTTTCGGTTTTTAAAGTAATTAAGGATAAATAAATCACTTAACAATTTTGTTTTAAATAAAAACATCTAATATAATTTTTTTTTTAATCTGATTTAAATCAAAATAATCTGCTTTTTTTAAAAATTCATGATTTTTCCATCCCTAAATGTAGGTAATAATTTTGTGAGATTAAAAAAAATGACTTAATGCTTTTCCGGGTAACCAGGTTTAATGACGCAACTGGGCAGGTGGGGTCCAGTGAACCCAGAAGTATCAGCGACGGAATTACGCATACAGGTGTACTTTTTAGATATGGATAAAGAAACGCTGTAATATAATCGTTTGATTAAACAAAACCTTCAAAATACTTTTGTTTTTGAACATTTTTTTCTTTAATTACAGATTGCACACTCTGTACCTTGATATGTGCACTACAGGTAGATTTTGAACAGATTTGACATCTTACTTACCTACTTCTTTCCTGAGTGCTCAAATGACATATTTTTGCAGCATTGTTATAAATTTTTTGAGTTGTTTCTTATTCTTATTTAATCTTCTTCGACTGTCTCCCTACATTTTGTGTACAAACAAATTCTTCTGCTATATAAACAATAAATAATCGTATGATCAACATTCAGACTAGATCAGCAACATACCTGTCACTGTGCTGTATTCCCGCAATACCTTGACCACACAAGACTTCAAAAACTCACTTTCTGGACTGTGAGTAACCCACTACATACTAAACCGTAGCAACACCGACTATGAAGGTGGTAATCGTAGAATCGCTTATCCATAGTGTCAATAACATCCCAATGAAAAGAAATGAATTGAACAGTCAGAAAATGCAATATTACATCAGATTAAGAAACCTGCATCAAATGGACCCCACTTGCCCAGTTGCGTCTGAAAAAATATTAAAATTTTTCTATTATTCAGTAACGCTTATGTAAAATGGTTGTGGGTACATTTAAAAGCACCATAGCAAGCAAAGTAAAAAAAACAACAAAACCCTAACGTCTTCGAAAGTTTTTACGTAAAATATTGAAAATTTTACTTTGGTGTCCAATGGACCCCAGTTGCCTGCAAAGTAAATTATTTTAAAACAAAAATCCATTGAAATTTCAATTCAATGAAATTTCCTTTCAATTCATTGAAGAAGCATTTATGCCAGAGGTTCTGCTCTATGTGGACAGAAAGTTTAAAGGAAGTAATTTTTTTAATTACCTCAATTTCACCCAAAATTACACGAAAACTACTCATATGCTCAAAACCTTATTGTTGACTGTAAATAAATATCTAATTTTGAAGTATGCATTTCATCAAACAAAATCTACCTTCAATGTTGTAGTTGATGGTGGGGATTGAAACAAACTAACTTTTTGCAAAATTTAGAGGAATTAAGGAAAATCAAACCTGAGTCATTTATATAAGCACATGCTGCTCCATTTGAACAGAAAAATAAATAAAGGAAAAATTTTGGAGCCCTTTTTGAAAGGTACCAATATTGAAATTCAATTTGAATGAAATTAAAATTCAAGAGGCCACGACATCAGATGAATCGATCAGGGAGTGTGAAGTTTGGTGAAAATTCTATGTACAGAACTAGTGCTGTTCAGACAGAGGGATGGATTAATCACTTTTTTGGTATCTACTACCCGCAAAACTTGGATTCTGTGACAATGCATGTTCAAGAAAGTCATTTATCACATATGGGAGCAAAAAAAATCCACTTCTAATAAATAGGGAACACAGTACTAATATATTTGTTGAAAAATCTGCACTTTCCCTTGCAGCATTACACAATTTCCTCTACACTACGGGTATGAGAATTGTCATTGAACAGAGATCAAAAATTGGGCGTATTTGCCTCTCCATACTTCATTTTCTTCCCTGCTAGGCCTCCAATCCGAAAGTGCTTTTCTTATCATCAAACAGAAGTGTCTTCCTGACTTACATACTAATCCTGTTATTCGGGGATTTATTTGACAGGTCCAACACACAACTCTGAATCCACGGTGGCATAGATTTAGTTTACCAGTTCGATCCCTTTGCAATGGAGACTATGATCGGAACATCAAAGTTGTGTGTATGAGCTACCGTGGAAATGGGGATCACAGTCTTATTGGTGAGTTCTACACAACATTACGGTCTCTGCAACGTGGTCCAGGAGCAGAGTCTACATTTCCTCTCATCTCTGAGAAGAAAAAAGTGAGTTAAACGAGAGGGGAAAAGTATTAGAATTGTAAGTCAGTTGCTTCATTTTTGTGAAGTGTTTGTGTGTTTTGGAAATGTACAGTAAAATTTCACTCTCTGTTTAATACTTCTTTTTCTGGCAAGTATGGCTCTAGCTTATAATTTTTTAAGTTCATTTCCTTGCCTTTTTTCTTCTTTGTTTTTAAGTTGGTCAGAAAATTGATTTTTTGACATGTGACCATTCAAGCACACTTGTTTACGGTTTTCTAAAGATTCAAGCTATTCGGAAATTACGTAAAGTAGGTGCTCTGTACCGGTTCTGCTGAAGTTTCCAAAAACTGATCAAGAAGGATTTTAAATGAGTAAAGAAGCATGGGGCATAAAATCAGTGACTTTTGAAATGTTGCAAAACTTTTCAAGGATGGCAATAGCAGGCAGGACTAGCCAGGAAGCATGCATCCCCAATAGTCAGTAAATTAATTCATTGTGCCTGGGCCATGCTTGCAGAACAACTGGTGATAATTATCATGGATAATAATCAAACTGTCGTTGGCAAACAGCCAGCTGAACTAAACTAGTGGTGCTGTAACAGCCCATACTTTCGTGCATTAATAACAGTTTCGTAAAATTATAATAATGCAATATCTGTCCATATTAACACCTCTCAGGCAGTGCTGGTGAAACTCATTACCAATGAGGTGCATTAGCTGCAAAAACTTAATTCCTTTAAAGCAAATACATCAATACAAATTCAACAATTCAAAATTTCGCTCCACACATGTAGAAACACCACCAACAATGGGAAGTTATTCTGAGAATTTAAAATTGTTCTCTCAAGTCGTTGTCTTGCCACCTCTAAACTTCAGAAAGATTCTAGCAAAGATAGTATGAGATATTCAAATTAGCAATATTAAAATATATATATATATATATAATATAATATTATATTTATATATATATTATATATATGTATATTGTATGTGTGTATGTATCATATGTATGTGGTGTATGTTATATATGTATGGTGTGTATGTAATATGTATGTGTGTATGTATATATGTATGGTGTGTATGTATATATGTATGTGTGTATGTATATATGTATGTGGTGTATGTATATATGTATGTGTGTATGTATATATGTATGTTGTTGTTATGTATATATGTTATTGTGTAATGTATATTGTATGTGTGTATGTATTATGTATGTGGTGTTGTATGTATATATGTATGTGTGGTGTATATATAGTATGTGTGTGGTAATATATATATGT